GGGGGCTGGAGTATTTTGGTTTTGTCACGATTTAAATGATATCTCCCCGTTAGGCTCTATGATATTCTTGCGATTCCCTCCTCACTGGCAGTTAATTGGAAAGTCAATTTTCCATAGTCTCCCCTTTACACTCTTTTGGCGACGACTGATCCCCTTTCTGTTCCCTCTGGAAACCATGTGATCCCCCAAAAATTCAAGAAATCTTCTTTTCATCCTCTAGCTTCTATCGGAGTTCAAGAAAGCTGGAGTTAAGATATACCTGGCTGGTTGCTCATGTGAGTATTTCCTTTTTTCAAGTTTTGAATCATAGTTTGGGCGGAATTCACAATAAAAAAACATCACTCCTATTATAAGGGTGATGTCTGACTCTCTGACGTAATAATTTACCTACTAAGCGCGATGTCGTCTCTCCTCAGCAAACCTCATTAAAAGGCTCGCAAGTCCCTCTGAGAGGTCCGCTATACAGGCCATTCCACGTCACGCGATGTTTCCATCCATTCATGACGCCGTTACATCAGCCGCACGATCACGTAACAACCCAGTAAGTTCCACAATCACGTGACGGTTAAACAAAACTGATTCGCATGTCTTGGCCTTGATAGCGAAGAGCAAAATGAAGGAAGTGTACAATGAAAAACTATGGTGTTTCTGACCTTTGAAACTGTCACCTCTCATTCTGATCTTTCAAATATTTTTTCAATGTTTTTACTTACATTTTGGCCACTTTTACTGGTCTTCTCAAGACTTAAAATAGACATGAAGGTTCATATAACGGATCGTTGTTTTTTGATTCATGACCGTAAACTGAGGCATATTCTGACTATTACATGATCTAACATTCATGTGGGAATGCGCGGGAAAATGCGCTTTAAGTACATCCTGAAATACGCATATCAATGCAATAATTCATGGTACCACTTTGTTACTTTATGTATTGCGATATGAATAAATATTAATGATGGCTACCTACAGTGATTAATATGTCCTCATTTGCTTTCCTTGCAGCTTTCGGGAGAAGACGGTGAGTCATGTTTGTAATGCTGATACTGGCTGATTTTTCTGTCGTGGAAAATTTCAGATCGTTGGTAGTTCTTTTATCACTGGCGAACGAAATAAACTTTTTAATAATCGGTAGCAGAGAGGGGCAGGGTGATGAGCTCTTCGTGCAGAATTCATTTGATTTATGGGTCTTCAAAGAATGATAGAATTAGCATCATGAACGATTCATAACGTAAATATAATCCAAACATATCTCTTTTTTTAACGGAATATTAATTTGTACTTAATTTGAATATTAAACATGTACTTTAGGGAAGTAGTCAGGGGATGGGATGAAGCCACCAACCCGCCATAGTTAACCTTGCTTTATTTTATTCTTCTCATTATACATATGTATCATTAAACTTAAACAATTAAACAAAATTTGAAATAGACTTTGTGGTTACAGTCCGTTTGCTCTATCCGTAGAGGCTCTTTCGCTGATATCCGCTGGATGCAATGAGTGTAGGCGCAAATTGAACGAGAGTTGAACGATTTTGTTGACCGTTCGTCCGGTTTGCGCCTGCACTCATCGCGTTCAGTGAACATTTAGTATAGAAACAGAAATGTTCATCAGAAGATTATCGATCTCTAACAAGAACGAAATCCGAACTCACTGAGAGACCAATACCCTTGACGTTTTTATAGCGATGAAAAGAACTAGAGGTTATGTAATGACGTTTGAAGGTAGTCTTGCAAAATATTTGTATTCACATGCAAAACAGAAAACCTGCGGCATCCCAGATATTTATGAGTATCATGTTCCACGAGAGAAGATGAAAATATAGTGACTAATTGACTTCAACCAATAATGATAACAAATAATCATATTTTTTAAAAAAATAATAAAAAATAATAATAATGAAAAAAAAAATAATAATAATAATAACAATTGTAACAGTAATGATGATTAATAGAGGCTAACTCAAGAACCTCACTGTTCCTCTTTCCTCTAGGCTCCAATAATGATTAAGCTTTGCTTCTTTCACTTTTGCCTGTTAATTATAAATAATTTTCACATTTCAAAATATATGATCGGCCACTAGTGTCCAAAATCCCAAATGGGCCATTTGATCATAAACGATACTTTAAAGCAACAAACAATTGCACGAAAGTTTACCCGCCATAATTTGTTTGATACAAACCGGCATACTCAAGTGAAACGGTGTGGCTTTTTTTTTCATAAACGAAAAAATTGGCTTCATTAAAAACGTTCACTGCTGATGCAAATACAAGTTGATATTTGCCGCACTCTATATCCTTCAAATAAAAATCAGTGAGCGTAAGCTACCGTTAATCCGATCGAAAATGTTTATTCCATTTGATCATAAACAATACGTTTGAGTGGACAAACGGCAACTGTGGTCAAAGGTTTTCCGTCATAATTTCTTTCATTAGAACCAGTACCTGAAATATCAGGCTTTTTCAAAAGCGCGAGACATATCAAATTCCGAAAGACACTTAAGTGCTTCCCCAGAGCAGAATCGAAACTGATAATTTCACAATCAGAGTTCGCCATCTTTCTCTTTGTCAGAATGACGCTCAAATGACTCATATGGCGTAATATTCCCTCCCCCACCCCTTCCCCTCTCCTTATTTTTGAACGTCGACCGCCCCCTTGGTACAAATTTCTTTCTTTCCCCAGCCTTCGCCAAAATTACGCCTGCTCTGCACACTAGTGGCTGATTTGGGATTTTGAACACTAGTGGCTGATTTGGAATTTTGGACACTAGTGGCCGATTCATCATTTTGGATGTTAGTGGCTGATTTACCATTTTGGATGTTAGTGGCCATTTTATCATTCTGGACACAAGTGGCCGATTTTGGGTTTTGGACGCTGTCCAAATTTTAAAATCGGCCACTAATGTCCAAAAATTCCCAAATCGGTCACTAACGTCTAAAATGATAAATCAGCCACTAATATCCAAAATGATGAATCAGCCACTACTGTACAAAATCAAGAATCGTTAAGTAGTATCCAAAATTTAAAATCGGTTACTTGTGGCCAAAATAAAAAATGGGCCATTGGTGTCCAAAGTCCAAAATCGGCCACTAATGTCCAAAATCCAAAATTGGCCTCTGGTGCAGTTTCCTACTTCTTGAGAAATTTTAAGACCTTCCATGTAACATTCCACTGCTTATTTAATATTTTTGAGTCCCCCATAACACTGGCCAACGATCTACTTTGTGAATCCTTCATGGACCCTGTCATTAACTTTTCTGGCAATGAGTAGAGAATTCTTAAGTATGTTATGGCTTGTGAATAACCACCGATATCCCTATAGGTGTGGCTGAGATTGAAGGACTCAACTTGTTCTCCAACCCTATCACCTGTTTCTTTTTTAAAGATTAGAGATTGCTTGAAATATGCTATAGCTTGGGTATATTCACCGATGTCATGATAGGCGCGGCCGAGATTGTTGAACACTTCTGCTTCTTTAGCCCTATTGACTGTTTCTTTGGCAGTGGTTAGGGATTGTTTTAAGTGTACTGTAGCCTCTTTATAATCATCGAGACAACGATAAACGACGCCAAGCCTGTGATACACGTTTCCTTCTGTAGCCCTTTGGCTTGTTTATAATCATCAAAGCAAAGATAAGTACTGCCAAGCTTTTCGTACACGTCTCTTTTTGCAGCCCTTTCATCTATTTCTCTGGCAATGATCAGATATTTGTTAAAGTATGTTATGGCCTGTTTGTTGTCAAAAAGAAAAGGTTAACACGGCCAAGCTTTCCGCACACGTCTCCTTCTGTAGCCCTCTCACCCATTTCTTTGGCGATGAAAAGAGATTGGTAGAAGAACGTTATAACTCGTTTATACTCACCCAGGCGAAGATAAGCAAGGCCAAGCATGTGGTACACATCACCTTCATAAACTCTGGCGTGTTCTTGCTTGGCAATGATTAGACTGTGTAGAAAGTTGTCCATTGCTCGTTTAAAATCACCAAGCTCTAGATACGCCCCAGCGAGATTGGCGTAGCCCTGTATTTCTGCCTCCTTGATACCATTGTGTATTATATCGATGAGAACTTGCTCCCTTAGCTCTCTAAGGTCAGAATTTTTTCCAGCCATGTTTCAACTTGTGTCCCAACCACTAAAAACTTAAGGATCAGATAATGAAGTAGTGTAGATATGTGTTCGGTGATTGGTTTAGAGCTGAATAGGCAGAGCGTGACATGTTATAATCGAACATTCAATCAGGGAACTCCCTTGTGATGAGAGAAAGTGTCCCCTGAGGAAAGCTATATTTCAAAGGAGGTAACCATTATAAAAAGTGGAGAGTCGCTCGGTCTTTTTTTTTTCGTTCGGGAAATTTGCTCTGAGTCGAAGCGTCTTGAAATTTAAGCTTCTGACAAAGTGGCCAACTGAAATTTCACACTGAGAGGCTGATTCTCAAAACTTATAAGTGAGAGAGACGAAAAGGAGAAACTCAATTAATTGATAACTCGGCAGAAGAACATAAATTTTGATGTTATACACAAGCTGAGTTTACAATCGTATTGTTACCGTAAAATAATAATTAATCAAAACTTTCACGCTGGCAGGTTGAAAGTTCCTTCGTTAGGCCAGCCGACATTTAATTTTTCAGAAAATAGTCTCGAGGTGGAATTCTTAGATTTTACATGCGGAATGCTGTAATTTTGATGTAAAAAAGGTGAACAAGCTTTTGACTGTTTGGAAACCAAATTAAATTTTTTGTCTTGCTTGATATTTGCGACGAAAAAAAAAAGTTGAAGATGGTCAGCTGTAGACCTTTTGTTTACCGTTACACACAGTAGGTGTTTGCTCCGAGGATTGACAGCTGTACAATTTACTATTCGTTCAGTTTCACGATCAGCTATTCCTGCAGCCCTACTGCTTTTGCCGGCACGTAAGGATCAAAGATTCTGTAAACTAACCAGCTACTCACTCAAATGCACGAAAAATAGATGAGTGGGAAATAAAAATGCCGTGGGAAGAAGTGAAATGGAGCAAGGATATTTGTGCAGGAAGAACAGGATGCGGGAGCTTACCTCACCGGCCCGCGATATTTCGTCAGCTTTTTAACCAATTGATCATCGAGTTGTTTTTGAAACACAATCTTTAGAACTCAACAGAAAAGTGAACCGAGAGTTACACATATAGGACTATGACGGATTTAGAAGAATCAGAATCACCGCCGTTGATAACTCGTCGACGCCGAAGGCGATACAGGATTAATTTGTCTCGACATGTTTACAATGAACGAGAATTCACTGAGTCGTTTATCAACCAAGAGGAATACACAGCGAGTTCTGAGTTTGAACCCTCATCCCTTGCAAAAACATTGAGGCGAAATTTCTTACCATCTAGATGTACGTGTAAAGATATCTTGCAATCATGGTTTCCCATCGTGGAGTGGCTACCGGCCTATAATATTCGCCGTGACTTGGCACACGACATAGCGGGAGGTTTAACCGTGGCGATTATGCATATTCCTCAAGGTAAGAGAAGTGATGTGCAAACAGGATTAAATATCCTTTTAATATCCTTTTAAAAAAGAACCATGTAGTGTTAATTTTAAACAAACAATTTGTAAATTTTGGCGAGCTTTCAGCGCAAATCCCTACTTCATTATGAATACAGTTCATGGATGAAGATATATAACAATAGCGAAAACAGTAGACTATCTTTGGGAACTACGGGCCTGTTGTAGACTAATATGGGGCTATATGGAAATTTTCCTACATTTTTTGCATGGAGACCACTGATCAAGACAATTGTTTCCCCCCTACAGTACAGTGCTCCCTCTGCCTGTACAAGATTGAATGCACCCTCCCCCATGTCATGACTCCATTGAGGATGACCTACATACGAACCTTATCTTGCACTAAGCTACCCCCATATGAAGTTAACACCCTGTATACAGAAGACATTATATCGAGTTGTACATGCAAATTGTCTCTTTCATTAATTCACTTGAAAATGCATTCCTTATTGAACACCCCTTTTGGTAGCATTTCTGACCTGAAACCTTAGTTAAGCTGACAGTGCACTAAAAAATTGGGATTTCTCTTTTGCCTGGCTACAGTTGAAGATAACATGCTTTTACTATAAATTTTTTTTCTGCTTATTAATTGACATACTATCTTTCCAAAACAGCCACATAATGGAAAGTTCCTCACTCTCTTTGTTCCATTGAAGTTGAACAATAATCAGTAGCTAATTTACAATCAATTTACTAAACCTGTATCAATCCTTGAACTCCCAGAAGTGATTAACTGAAGTTTTTTTCCCTTAAAAAGCCTCTTGTTAGAGGGAACACAGACACACACACACACACAGCAACTCTCAAATGAATATAATTGCAGTTGCCTTGTTGCCATGTTTGTTGCAGGTCTGGCATATGCATTGCTAGCATCACTTCCAGCTGTTACAGGACTGTACACAGCTTTTGTTCCTATTCTTGTTTATATGGCCATGGGGACCTCCAGGCATATATCTTTAGGTAAAATACTCAATGTAGACTCAAAACGTGTCAATTTGAATGATGTCAAAATTTTGAAAGAACAAAAAAAGACATTTTAGTGCAGTATGCAGTATTCTCAGTAAACACTTAATAACCAAAATGTATGTACATGTGCCACTCCAGTTAATTGTCAAAGAATAATTGCTGTGGAAATGTAACCAACATAAAGTGTTTAATTTGTATCAAAGAAGTGAATTTTCTGTTATCAAATATTCATGTTAATGGAAAGGCTCTGTACACCAAGAGTATGGAATTGAATGGAGAATACAAAAAGATTCCTAATCTGAAATTTTTCATTTTTTTTTTTAAAACTTAAATTTAATTAATCTTAGCAGTGTGCAGGATGCATGTCATATGAACTTCATAATAGACCTTGCTCACCATGGTGTCTCTGTGGCTCAGTGGTAGAGCATCGAAGTACAGAATCTGAAAGTCTGAGGTTCGATTCCTCATGGGGACTCAGAATTTTTTCTTTGTCCCACGCTTATCACCAGACAAAAAACATCTTTCTTTAAAATTTAATTATTGATAAATATAGTATTACAAAATTAATGTTGATTGTTTTTAAATTAGAATCTAAATCATGATTATAGAGGAATTATAGATCACTTTCTTTCTAGGAACATTTGCTGTGGTTTGCCTCATGGTTGGTCATGTTGTTGACAGAGAAGTAGAACAATCTTTGTCACCCACCCCAACAGCACCAGCTCCTACAAATCCGCCTCTTGATGGCTCAGTTAATGAAGTATTACGGAATTCAATTTATAAACATGAGTCCAATGGCAGTTCATCAAATGAACAGGACTTGCTGGATGAAAAGAAGTTAGAGGTTGCTGTAGCACTGTCAATGCTTGTTGGTCTTCTACAGGTGGGTTCCCTGTGAACAGATTACTACAGTTTGTTTGTTATTGAGAGTTATAACTCACCCATTCATTTTTGTGGGATTTTGGCAGCTATTTTACATCATTTGATTAAAATCATTGGACCCTTTTTTTGTAATATGGAAATTGATGGAAGGGTTATTAAGTAAATAAACCCCTTTCTAGCTTGCTGGTGTTTTGGCTGACAAATGAATGTCCTTGGCAAAGAGATTGTTCTCAAAATTTTACATTTTCCCTCACAGCTTCACTTCTCAACCAAATATTCATTTTTTTGGATAGTCTCTAAGCCACAGATACTAACAGTCAACATGTGAGCAGCCTTAAGGGGTTTATTTACTTATAAATTTATTTGTTTTATATTCTCTTAAGACTTTATAAGACTTTATAAGACTTTATTCAAAATGTTTAGTACTCTCACTTAACAACTTGTTTCAGGTATACTAGTACTAGTAAATTGCAATAAAATTACAATAAAAACATTACAATAAAAATGTACAGTTATGTTGTTACTAGGAGACGTGTGGATTTCAATTTTTTGTCTGAATTTTTTTAGAAGTTTTAATGTTTCTCTTCACATCTGGTTAAAAGTTTCATAGCTTCACTTTGCAAAATCTTCAGGATTTAAGTCCATAAGTTGTTGAATTGACCTTTGACTGGTCCAGTTTTATTTGATATATTTACTTTGCAGCTTTTAATGGGTCTATTGAAGCTTGGTTTTGTTGCTGTGTATTTATCTGATCCTATCATTAGTGGTTTCACAACTGGTGCAGCAATTCTGGTTTTCACAAGTCAGGTGAAACACATCCTTGGATTGGAGGTTCCACGATACTCTGGAGCATTTGCTGTAGTAAAGGTTTGCATTCAGCTCAAGCATGTATTTGATTTTTTAATCTGTTTTTCACCATTGGAGGATGTCAACTGACATTGAATGAATTCATTATTGTTCAGTGAGGTACTACAATGTAAATTTTAAACTACTTGGTTGGTTGAGATATCCACTCAGCTGACTAGCACCAGAAAGTCATCTTCATCTCATGATTTTATCTGTGGATGGCGCTGGTTGTAGTAGTTTGTAACTGAATGGGACAAACATTACAAGAAGACAAGTGCTCAAAAGAAGACTCTCTTTTAATACCAACCCTGTTGGTGGTTTTGTTGGAATAAATTTGTATGTGCTTTCCCAAATGACTTTAATGGAAATATTAGGCTTATTAATTACTTTTCTTATCACCTAATAACTAGACATAAATTAGTACTTGATAACCCTCATTACTTTTTCATGTTGGGAAATATTCTCTGGAAGGCAATTTGTAACAAGATCTTTGATTACTGCACACACAGGATTAACTTGACATTTGTTTATTTTTGTTCACTTGTTTTTCTGAAGTTTTATTTTCTTTTTTTCAGACCTACATATTCATGTTCAAGAATATTACTCTTGCTGTACCAGGATCAGTCATCACTGGAGTTGTCTGTATCCTTGTCCTGATAGCACTGAAATATATCAGTGAGAAGCTGAAGCACAGAATGAAATTTCCTATACCAGCTGAGTTAATAGTGGTGAGTGACTGAACCCTCTAGACCCCAATATCAGTATGCTTATTCTCCATACTGTTCTCTATACATTCCTTAAGTCATGGACAAAGTGAATTTGTGTTTCAATCAAGAACTGCTTTAATTGGTGCTCATTTTCTCTGTTCTCACAAGCTTAATATTTGAGGGGTGATATTGTAAGGAGAAACTTGATCTTGGTCCCTTCTAAGGGTTAAAGGGCTACCTTTGTTTTGATCTGCGGTGTAATGATGCCTCCCATGAAGGGTTTCCATGTTACTTTTGCTGTTAGTAGCTTCCTTACACTTGAATGTGCATATCAGGGGTACCCATAAACCAAGAACAACAAATACATTTATCAACTGGAGCTGTTTTTCTCAGTTAGGGTAAACATCTGGAACACTTCAATATTTACTTAGAGCTTTTTCTATATTGTTAGAAATCCTGAAAGATTGATTTATCTGACATGTAAATCTTGTTGTTGGTCATAGGTTGTCCTTGGAACAGTTGTGTCTTATTTTGTTGGATTGAATGAAAAATTTCAAGTTTCAGTTCTGCGTGATATCCCTAAGGGGTAAGAGACATTGAGGTACAGTCATGTGATTATAGTGTAACTCTGTGATCATAGTGTAACTCTGTTATCAGTTTGTGCAAAGGCACCAAGTCTTCACTATAACTTCTCTTGTACATATCCTGTGCTCTGTACATGTAAATTCATGGCAGGATGTGTTTTGTTCTTCCTGTTATATATGTATAATTGTATACATTGTACATTGTATGTATACCTGAAACAAACAAATAAATAAATAAACAAGAAACACCTCTTGGATTGTAGACATGTTTGACTTGACAGATGTACTTTCAGTGTGATGCATCTTTTTAATTTACAAATTGATGATACTGACAATGATTTTACCATAATGTTTTATGGTCTAATTAGGTTACAAGCACCATCTGCTCCATCCTTCATGCTGATGGGAAACATGGTGACAGATGCCATTGTGATTTCTATTGTTATATTTGCCACAAACATATCTTTGGCCAAAACATTTGCCAAAAGAAACAATTATGTGATTGATTCAAATCAGGTTGGTAGATACAAATGTTTTTTGGTGGTTAATTACTAACTGATTTGGGATGATCATAAAACTTAGTATGGATGATGACATGATTTTGAGTGCAATTTGATGTTAATAAGCACAAGTAAATTTTTCAAAGACAGCAAATTAAATTGCACAAACCTGTATGGCAAGTGCAATTTGTAATCTTTGAAAAATTTGCCAGTGCTTATTGCACCAAATTGCAAGAGAAGTCATGTTATTACTTGTTAATAATGTAAATGAGAAAAGCATCACTGAAAATCAAGATGGGAGAAATTTTGAATGCTTGCATGCGCTTTTTGTAATTTGCACTCGTGTTACAACTTTGCACTCATGTTACATGAGAATGCGCTTGTTTTAAGCCAATCAGAAACGCGTAATGTTTTTCATGTACATTATTACATATTAAGTAAATGTTTGTTTGTCTGTAGGAACTGATTGCTTGTGGATCTGCAAATGTGCTGGGTTCCTTTTTTTCTTGCTTCCCTGTGAGTGGTTCACTTTCCAGGTCTGTGATTCAAGAAAGCATTGCAAGAACACAGGTAAATAAATACAATGTACAGTTATCATAATAAGTGAGTTCTAGAAGCTTTGTTATTGTCCTATTGCCTTCTCCTTTTTGCCAATTTGCTGACTTTCTTGCTTGAGTTGTTCATTCCAATTCAACTACTTACAAATTAAAAGCTTAATATACAAGGTTACTATTTTCTACTGTAGTCAGTCATTCTTTGGCATGTCTTGCATTCAGGGTAATGTTGTATGAAATCCAAAAGATAACTGCAATTAGTGGACAAAGTCATGGAGGGCTGCTCAACTTTAACCCTTTAACTCTTAGAAGTGATTAACATGTAACTTCTCCCTATAATATCCATACATTATCCAGCAAATAGGTAATGAGAATACTCAAACTCATCAGACACAGGATATTACCTTGATCGAACACCAAATTCATGTTACCAATATACAAAGAAATGTCTGGCAGGTAGAAGGGAGAATTAACAATCAGATCTTGGGAGTTAAATGGTTAATGTGTGGCTAGTTATTGGTCCAAGAGAATTTTTTAGCACATTAATCACACTTGAGAAAGAAAGAACATTTCCAGGGTCCTTAATGAGGGCTTGATTTTATTTGTTGCATAACTGTTGAATTTCAGTGTGCAAAAAATTACTGTCTCATTAGATTTGCCAGAAACTATTAGACAAAGTGACACACTTCATGTGGTTTTTTTTTTTTTTTTTTTTTGCAGCTCTGCAGCATCCCTGTTGTTGTAGTTATTATCTTGGTTTTACTTTTTATTGCACCTCTCTTCTATCACTTGCCAAAGGTTAGTTGACTCTGTAGGCAGTGCACTCACAGTATGAAAAAATGTGCAAAGGTTTGCTCCATTGAAATGCCATGTAACTGTAGAATGTTCTGTGTATTCCCAGTTTTCAAAGTGATGTTGCTTGTTGCTCTGAGCCCCTTCCTTGCTAAGCTCTCTATATACATAAATGTGCAAGGCACACCACAATATTTAGTCTTAGCTCTTGGAGAAAGGGAGGGTGTGGAGGAAAAGAACAAGGAGTAAAAAGCTAGGGAACAAGAAGAGCAAGGATGAGGACTGACAACATCAAGTTATGTGATGCCAGGTTCTACAGATCAAACCCAGGTCACAGCGTTGGAAGTCCAAGCCCTCTCAGTGTTATAGCATTTGTGCTTTCCTCCTCTGTGTTCCACTCCATCCTCATTTTATCCTTTGTGGAAAATGTTGTAGAATACGGAACAATTTCTTTTTTTTTTGTTTTTGTTTTTCTCTCACTTGTCAGGCAATACTGGCTGCTGTGGTAGTTGTTGCACTCAAGGGGTTGTTCCGACAGTTTAATAGACTGGTACAGCTGTGGAGAATGTGTAAGCCCGATGCTGTAAGTTTATTGAAATCCTTGTTGTTCCATTAATAATAATGATGATTAAAATAGTACATAATTTTAATATTGTTATTCTTCTTGTTTATATTTCTAGTATTAGTTTTACTAAGTTAAACATGACTGTTGTATTATAAATTTACTACACAATTACTCTATGATTTTTGATTTACATATGATAATTCATTTGATAGAACAATTTCATATAATGTATTTTGATAATTTTAATAATTAATGATTGATGTGATTTTGTAATTAACATTTAGTTCATCTTAACATACAGGTCTGTAAGCACCTCTTTGTAATTTAGTGAAACTACAAATTTACATCTCACTGTTTCATAGTCATGAAAAGCTGTTTTATCTCTTAAATCGTTCCCCTCTAGGTTGTTTGGTTTGCAGCATGGTTAGGAGTTGTATTGCTTGGTATTGACATTGGGTTAGGAGTTGGAGTAATCATGGCTCTGGTAGTGGTAATCTGGAAGTCATCCAGGTCAGAATAAAAAATTTTCTGATTGGAGTGATTTCTGTAATCACCCAAATAATGTGTGGCTGCATACTGAATTTAATGAAGTGTTGTTCAACCCTTTCACTTCCAAGATCTCACTAGTAATTCTCCTTACTGTCTGCCATACAATTCTTATGATGTTAGTTTCCCAGAATTTGATATTGGATCAAATGATAATCCTTATTCTCATCACTTTCCAGTTTGATATTGTTTTGATATGGTAAGGAGAAATTCTGTGTTAATAACTTATAGGAGTAAAAGGGTTCACACTTACCTTTATATACCTTAATGTGGTGGTTCTATCAATTTGTTGGTTCAGTCTTTTCGTTGAAGTGGTTCATGAATGCACTGAGACACCCATTGCTTGAAGCACAGCCTTAAAAAAGACTCTTGCATATAAATGTTGTTGAGTAGTTTTGTCTTCGTGTGTGAACGTTCCATGTTTGAAAAGTTACGACAACGATTGCATGTTGTTGACATTTGTAGACCTCCTGCTTCACTTCTTGGTCAGATTCCTAACACCGGAATTTACAGAGGCCTCCAAAGGACAACTTCGGTAAGCTGGAAACTGACTACTTTGTGGTTGAATTTGTTTGTTTTGTAGGGGGAGTGGGGAGGGGGATAAACGTAGAGTCCGGAAGCGAAGTATTTTTGCCTCTTTTCAGGTTGTTTGCGGCCTAAGAGATTTATAGTTAACTGATTATTGACTTTCATTTTTTTTCCGCAGGCAAAGCCGATTCCAGGAATAAAAATTTTTCGATTTGAATCTGCGATGTTTTACGCCAATTCAGAATACTTTCGAAGCACTTTGATAGAAACGACTGGAGTTGATCCACAGAAACGCAGCAGGCTTGGTAGCTCAGCAGTGCGTTATAGGCACAATGAGGAGGATACAGGGAGTCCGGCAATAGAAATAACAAGGACTGTTTCAATCAATAGAGCTCTGGAGAATGGGGTAGAGTTAATTTTAAGTATACATGCATATTATATATAAAAGTAATTATTGCTTAATTTGTCTAAGTGACGTTTATCATGACAACCAGCAATCAATTGGAGCTCAAAGGAAACACAGGAGAATTGGCTTAAGCGCGGGAAAACTGGAGTGGCTAAGTTTCGATTTGTGTCATACTTAGTTTCTAAAGGAACTGTGGTGCTCTGTCAGTGGGGAGGGGGAAGGGCTATTACCAGACAGTCTGGTTTTAAATGTACTCTGGCCACCATAGATAGTTTTTGAAGCTGACGTTTCGAGCGTTAGGCTTTCTTCATTCGCCCTGACCAAGGGCTAAAATTATGAGGAATGTATGACGGGCATTGCGGAAACTATTGAAATTTAGATTGAGTGAGATGGTTAATCATGTCTTTGTATTTTCAGGATGTGGAAGTTTCTCTCAGTGATCTTGGAAATAACGAAGATCCCTCAGGAGATGATCCAACCCCTGTTCACGCCATCATAATTGACGCCAGTACGTTTAATTTTATTGACACCCAAGGTGTGAACACTTTGTTGCAGGTAGGAAATTGATGTCGAGGAAGGTGTTCGTTGTGGTCACAAAGATAGAGCTCTTTGCGATTGAGTGTCGTAAAACCAAATCCAAAGTAATCACAATGGCCTGTCAGAAGAAAAGGAAAATACCCTAAAGAGCCAATGAGAATTCAAAGAAAAATGAACCAAATTCCCTCAAGCGCGGGAAGACGCGAGCGACCGAGTCGTGATTGGTTTTAATATTTCATCTGATTGGTGGAGAGGGGGCGCGAGTTTTCTGGGCCAATCACAAAGCGAAGTTAATTAAAACCAAAGCAATTCCGAATTACTTTCGACACTGGATTGAAAACTTATTCTAAATGAACGGTTAATCGTTTGTCTCACGAGGTGGGGAACTTTTGTCTTAGCTTTTGTGAATTGACCCTTGATGTAAGGTGTTGCTTTGAAGTCCTTAAATTGTTAATGGTCGTGGTATAAAAGGCAAAGTCTGCATCTAAGACTGAGTGGCATAACTGCTGGAAATCTGTTCGCAGACCTTGTGGAGTGCTTTTGGATCGATTGCGGCAAAAGCAACTAGGGTCGAGAAAGAGGTTTCACGGAGAGTAAAATGGGAATTGAATAAAAACAAGCGAAGTGTTTGAAGCGCGGGAAAACGCGAGTGGCCAAGTCGCAATTGGTTTTAATTCTTAATCTGATTGGTTGAGAAAGTGGCGCGAGTTTTTTGGACCAATCACATAACGAGGTACAACCAAAGCAATTGCAGACTACCCAGACACTCAACCCTAAGCTGTTCAGTTCTCTTTGAAATAATCTGCCAGAGCGCGAGCCAAATATGTTATGCTGGTATGCTTTTATTTCAGCTTGGTCTAGAGTATGAAAAGATTGGAGTAAAATTCTACTTGGCGCACTGTCGATGTAAGTTGATGTTAAGAATTATGATTGTTCACAGGACTTAAGTGCTTTGTCGCCGTTGTATTATGAGGTTATTCTCCGTTATTTTATTTACTATTTTACTGCAAATTATATGATAAAATAAAGAAAGAAAAGCATGCAAATTGCCAAACTAATTTTCATCAGAAGTAGCGAATCCTGAAAAAAAAAACACTTTCTGCCATTATTTTATAGATTACATACGGGAAATGTTAGAGAAAGCTGGCTTTACGGCGAGAATAGGAACAGAACATTTGTTTGTGTCTGTACATGACGCAGTGATACACGCTGTTGGAATTCACTCTGAGGTGAGCTTAAGGATTTGAATGAACCTTTTCATTCTTAGATCTCACAAGTAATTCTCGTTACTATCTACTGTTGGATCAACTAACAATCCCCTAATTGTAAGTTACATTTTTTAATTCTCCTTTTTCTCATCACTTGTCCGCCTAGTATTGTTTTGATATTGTAAGGAGAAATTATGTCTCAATGTATTTTGCTAGAGTGTTTGTGTCTTTAATGGTCAATTATGGCATAAAATGGCTTTTTTTAATCACTTTTTATGATAACCCTGTTCTGTGGAACCTGCATTAAGCGGTCATCCCCGTAGGTGACTGCTTCATACAGGTTTGACTATATGCTCCATGTTTCGGAAAGTTGAGTGCATTACCTGTGTGAATGTGATACCAGGGTGCCTAAGGGTGAGATAAGGTGGGGATTTTTAGAAATATGCTTGATCTGGTGTAAGGGTGAAGACTTCTTTCTCGCGAAGGATTTTTCATTTGGTTTTTTTGTGGTCGTAGGACGCGTCCTATTCGACTCCTGTGATGAGTGACACTGAATCAGCACTTGAGGCTGGACCTTCTAATCAACAGGTTTGTAAACCTGATTGACAATCATGTCACGGGCTCCAGATTTCTATCGTTTAATAGCGGGGAGCGTAGCCATTCAGACTGCAGCCTATTGTCTCATTTCTGTTGAAGTTTGTTCAGGTTTTATAAGCGGGAAACGACTCTAGCTTGCTGAACCTGGGTCAGTTTATCCTATCTCTGATTTTCCGGCACGCGGAGGCAAGCGTCAGTCGTGTGCAAGGCGTGAGGCGAACTCCGTTCGGTCGATAGCTCTAAATTGTGTTTCCTCTGGTCATGACATGTTCATTCAATCCAAACCTTTTTTTTTTACTTTCCTCAGGTAGAAGAATGAATGGGAGCAAACGATTTGAGATGACTCGCGAAGTTAATCAAAGAACATACAACAGCCCACGCACGGAATCTTAACACACCGTCCCTAAAAAGAAAGCTATGCAACGCTTAGATACTCAGAAGTGGAATTCAATCATACCGAACGAAAAGTGTCCGATTTTTATTTTTTATAATGTTTCCAGTGATAATTTTTTACGTGGGGCAAGTTCTACTCATTTGACTCGCGGTAAGCAGGGTTATTAATTTCGCTTGAGCTTTGGACGATGATTTAACAAGAAAAAAGAAGGTTCGCAAACAGAAAAGAATTGGTCAATTGAGAAGCGCTAACCCGGACCTCTCCAACAGTAACATCCTTAAATCAAATATAGGATCAATATCAGTATCTGGGCAACTACCCACCTTCCCCTCCCCTAACCCAACATTAACCCTAACTTGTTAACTGTTGTTGAGTTAGGGGAGGGGTAGGTGGGCAGTTGCCCAGATACTGATATTGATCCCAAATATATATGTCATGAGTATAATGAAATGATCACCAGTTTAGGAAGCTCCTGATGGTTAAACAAATTCTCCTTGTCAGTAGCATAGGAAATGTCAAGGCGATAGTGTGGAGAATATGAATTCTAATGTTAGGGTTAAATGTTAAGAAAGAAAAGTGCTAGGATTGTTAGAAACTGCTCAGGGCATTGCCTTTGGTAGATACCACATTGTTTCAACCCTTGACACCTTAACATCAGTATGCAAGCTCTCCTTACAGTTCTCTGTACATTTCCTACGGTACTTTTAAGGAGAATTTGTCTTACAATCAAGGGCTACTTGGAATACCGATTATTTCATTTATTCTCATGACCT